GGCTATGTAATTCATCCTTCTTTCTCATCCTATGCCCTGCCTTTCAAAGAACAGTTTGGGGAGGAAGGAATTTTAAATATCTAGTTCCAACTTCCCTGCCATGTGCAGGGACACCTTTCACTAGACCAGGTTGCTCAAAGCCCCATCCAACCTGACCTTGAACACTGCCAAAAATGGGGCACTCGATTCTTATGTGGACTTGAAAGCTCTAAGTCAAGAACTTTACATCAATGACTCTGCACACCAGTATCATTCCAAGGAGGAAAACGGACTCTCCTCCTCAGTTACAAATTTCCAGTATTGAAAAACAGGGGAGAAAGGAGGGAAAGGATATTTCATTTGTCTTCCCATTCCTACGCCTGTATGCCACATTTTTGGACTTGAGTCACTGTTACCCAGTTTCCAAAAGGGAATTCCATATTAGGCAGCCAAAGTGAAACCTGTTTTATACCAACTGTATTGTTAATGTACCTGTAACTTTCAAACAATAAAGTAACCTGCCAAGTTACAAATAGTGGCTTTCCTCTTTTTTTTTTTTTTTTTAAAAAGGTATATTACTACAGTAGCATATAAATCTAGACACTTTGTTCAGCTGATACATTGTACAGGGTAGTGCCAAATCTTTCATACTTGCCAAAGGGTAACATGGCAAAAGGGTCTGCCAGGGCAGCACCAGCTACTGAGCAGGCGGTGAGCCTGGGAACTGCCCAGGATACAAATCCTGGCCCTTCTGCTGCCATCATTCTGAAAGCTGATCGCTCCATATTTCTGTCATTCCCTCCATAACATGATTAAAAACCATATACTTGCTTTTTGAAAGGTGTTTTGAAACATAGAGATTAAAATAAAATTAAAAATATTTTTTCTTTCCAAGTAACTATATAAATAATATTTTTAATAACCTGTTACCAAACCCAGGTAGTGAGTCAAAGAAAAATAAAATAATCATAGATTGAGAGAAAGCAGTTGGCTCAACTGTTTATTTAAAGGTGAGCAGAAGCAGCAATAACTAGAAAGGTTTTATTCACATGAAGATTTCAGCTTTTGCAAGTGTTGCATCTCCTGTCGCTGCTATAGGACAAGGAACAGACTGGCCTATTTTCTGCTTGACTCATGTATCCCACTATTCCTTGCACTCCTAATGAACCAACAGTGGTATCTTTTAAGCTTGCTGACTCATACAAAGATCCTCCTGCAGGTGAACTGACGTCCTGGTGAAGGAACAGAAATACTTTGTAGTAGCCTGGACCTAAAGACTGATCATTCTGAAAGAGTAAAAGGAAATAATTCAGGCATATACAACAAACTGCAGAATTTCCAAACCTCACTTCATCTTAAAAATTGCCTCTTGTATTCAAAGGAGATACAGGAAGTGAAAACAACTACGAACAACACTGTAGGTTAAACTGTGATCAAAGAAGTGGCAAGGAACACAACGAGGGAAGAGGTAAGGCATGAAATAAAACCACACTTTCCTAATCATAACTGGAAAAATTGCATTCTTTGTTTTACTTGACAGACATGGATGTGTCCAAAAAAAGAGCTAAAAACTTGACATATGATTGCAATGCTGTTGTCAGAGTCTTATATTACGATTTACACCCTCTAAGCCACTGGTCCAGTTTCAGTGTACACTGAAATAAACCATATATAAATACCTATTTTCTATCCCTTCCAGACTACAAAGATATTAATGAAAGTTTCATAAACCCAGGTGCCTAATTTAGCTAAATGTATAACACAGGTAGTACCTCTAGACCTCATCAGACCACACAAACACTACTTAAGTAAATAGAAGCTGCAGGTGCTCAATGTCTTTAAAAACTTGTTTATGCAGTGCACGGAAATGTCACACCAACATTGTTCAAATCTGACTGTCTATTTGGAAAAAAAAGAAAAATCTTCTCTTAACTTTCATAGCAATAAGTCAGCTCACTAGAAACATGCCCAAATGATATTCTACTCCAGGCTGAAAAAGCCAAACTAAGCTGTTACTTTGTCAAAAAACTGCTTTATGCCCAAACCATTCATGGAAATCTAAGCAATGCAAACACTTTTTTTACAAGCATTTTATCGAACAGCTTGCCAAGCTCCGTATAAACACATTTTACTATTTCATAAACTTTATATGCCAAGTTTTTGAAATGTGAAGTGACAGGCTCTCAGTGGAATTTCTGCAGAGCTACAAGGTTCTTATTGCCCTCAGGCCCCCGAGACTGTAAATTGACTATATGAAGAAAGTAGCCAGAATCTCTTCCTTTTTATACAAGAATGCCTTGCAAATTGGAAATACTGAAACAGCCTCTACGACCAGCCATAGAAAAATTCCTTTACAGGAGGCTCAAAACGCCTCAGTGATCAGCACACAGTAAGTATGCACCTCTGCTAGGTTTCTGTTGGCAACACAGGAAAAAGGCTCTCTCTGTCATTAAAGACCCCTTAAAGTTAAGAACTAATGCTAAATATCCTCCAACCCACAGATATACTTTAGCTAGGTATTTCCATAAGGAAATCGTCTTATCTTCATGATTCTGGTTGTTTTCTAATTTTTTTTTCTAATTTGTTCACATCCTACTTTTATCCAAAATCCTAAAGTTACACAAAAGCAACTAAGAGTGAACTCACCAATGCCATAAAAACAAACAAACCAAAAAAACCCAACAAAACAAAAAAAAATTTAAAAGAAAGAATAAGCCAGTTTCCAAACTCTGTGAAGTAAAACCCCTTGAGTACAGTTGCATGTGCCGTATTATATTACATGTCAATCTATCTGACAGCACTGAAACTTTGTACTTCCGTTTACCAGTTACCTTTCTTAATGGCTCAAGGTCTCCCTTTGATTACTCCCAGCTCTGACACATAAGCTATCTTTTTATCATGTTTACTTTTGCTTTACTACCATCCATTTGCATTTGTAATACTATTACTACTGTAGGCATTTTGAAGACATGTCCTCTACAGTGCCTTGTAGCACTCATGTAATTCCTGAGATTGTTTACCATTGCAGATGATGGAAATCAAACAGGTGAGTTATAAACAGACATCAAAGTTCTTTTTTTTTTTTTTTCATAAAACGGTAAACCCACAGCTCTGCCTTTCTGCTATTCTTGCCCACAGCTCTGCCTTTCTGCCTCATGCTGTTCTTACAAGAAGTAATTCTAGGATTACTATATCCAAGAACAGCAAAAAACAGTTAACTAGCATTTTTGGTGTTTTTAATATAGCTTTCTTTCATATACCTCATATATATAGATAATAAACTAATTAAAACTTTAAAAAAATAGAGAAAACCATGATCATTTAACCCAAAGATATAGGAAGAGTTCAGTGGTAGCTGTAATACCTGGAAAAGCTTTAATATTTCCTTTTCAAGTTAGCTATGCTCTAGTATTCCTAAGGTTGCAGAGCAAGCTAGTTAGAATCAGAGCTCATTTCCTGGCATTTAATCCTCCACTGGAATTAGTGTGCTACCTTTCAGTTATTAATCACTTTGATACTACAGCCTCTTACCTCAGAGTTTAAATTGTCAAGTCACGCATGAATGCAATTTACTCCTACAGAAAATTCCCTGGATTTCTCTACTAATCTAAAGCAGCAGCGTTCCATTAACCAATTCCAAAATTTTATTTAAAAGTTGTCACTTTTCCACATTCAGGCTCATCTTTTTCAAAGTTTCAGTTGGCTATAATGGAAGGCTTTAGCCTTTAGCTCTCTGATAGAAAGGGATCACCTCTAATTTGCAAGTACATTTTACTGAACTTCATAGTATGTTCAGAACACTTCTGCAAATGCAGTCCATATTTGTGCACTAGTCACACTCCACGGTGATAAAGGGCTTAATGGCTCTTCTGAAAGTAAAGGGCTGTATTTGGAACCTACACCTGGACTGCTCCCCTTCAACAACTGCACACCAGCCAAGCAATCCCAAATTGCAATCTGAGCTCCTCATTGCTTTCTCAACCACAGCACATGGAAGTGCATCCACGAAATATCTACCCCATGGTGCCAGCTCTCTCATCCCCAGGGAAGGGGAGGAACCCTTGCTTGTCCAACGTATGTGGACTTAACGGCTAAATGACCTCTTTGGATCTCACCACCAGCCAGGTGTTTGGGACAGGTGTATCGTGCTCTCTCACGGGAAACTGATGGAGACACACCTCCCACACACCTGTGCGTGGGTACTGGGCAGAAGCTGCCAGTTCTGCCGGCAACGATTATCCCAGACACGCCATCAAGCCAAGCCTGCTCGGCTCTGGGTTCAGCGGGGTACCTGGGGCTGGGACCAGACCAGGGACCAACACACGTCCCGGGAGCTTCCCGGGCCACTCGGACGGGAGCATCCGGGCAGCGGCGGTCGGTAGTCAGGTGTTCGTGGCATCAAACTTGCTCGCTTTCCAATCCCCTGCGAGTTCTCGAAGCAGAACGTCAAAGCACGAACGTGGTCACACAAAAGATGAAAGGCAGCGACCTGACACACGGCGTGAAAACCCAAAGGCGACCCCAAAGGGCACAGCCGGCTGTCACCGCACCAAGAGGGATGGAGGGGGGTGGAGCGGGGACAGAGAGAGACGACGTTTAGGTTGGACATTAAGATTAATTTCTTCACAGGAAGAGCGATTAGACATTGGAAAGAACTGCCCTGGGAGGTGGTGGAGTCACCGTCCCCGGAGATATTTAAGGAAAGACTGGACATGACACCCAGTGCCGTGGTCTAGTTGACAAGGCGGTGTTCGGTCACAGGCTGGACTCGACGATCTCAGAGGTCTTTTCCAGCCTAACAGACTATGATTCTGAGCAGCCGGGCACCGACCCCCGGGGCCGGGGCACCAGGGCCCGCTCCCGGCGCGGGCGGGGGATGGCCGGGCGGGCTCCGCACTCCATCCCCGCGCTGCCACAAACTTTCCGGGGAGGGAGGGAAAAGAGGGGAGCGGAGGGCGCCGGCGCGGGGGGAGGGGGGGAAAGGAGGGGGCAAGGAAGGGGGTACTCGGCGCGGCCCTTACCCGTCCTTGCGGCGGGCCTTGTAGACGTGCCCGTAGGTGCCTCTGCCCACCTTGCATCCCTCGTACTCGAACAGGTCCTCCACCCGCTCGCGCTCGGCCGCCAGCTTCGACTTGAACTCGTAGTCCATGTCTCGCCCATGGGCGGGGAGGGACGAGCGGACAGGGGGACGCAGCGGCCCGATCAGCACCCGCGGCTGGCGGAGCCCCCTCCCGGCGCCGCCATGTCCGGGGCTCGGCGGGGGCGGCGGGCGGAGGGGTACGGGGGGCGGTTTGTTTTTGTTTTGGTTTGGGGCTTCTCGGCGGGGGGAGGGGGGAGCGCTCCGCCGCCGCCACCCGCTTCAACTGCGCTCCTCGCGGCGCGGCGCGAGGGCTGCCGGGAGTCGTAGTGCGACTGCGGGAGACGGCCCCGCCGCCGCGGGCGGGAACGGCGCGGCGCCAGAACTACAACTCCCGGCATGCCCCGGGAGGCATTGGCCGGGCGGCGTCGGCGCACTGCCCTCCCCGGAGACAGCGGAGCGTTTCAGCGGCCGCTGGGAACTTGCTGACTCTTCACATTGCGGGCAGAGGCGGGAGCGGCGAGCGCGGCCGGACGCGGCGCCTCTGGCTGGCAGGGAAGGACGGAGGGGTGTAGGGCGGAAAGGACGGAGGACACGAACCCCACGCTGTGGGGGGCTGAATAGTGCGGCAACTTGTTTATCTCGCCAGCTGCCACTCACGGCTTGGCCCCGCCCCCCCGGAGCTTGCTGCCCTGTGATTGGTCGGCCCGCCTCCCGTGCCGCTGGCGGGGAGGGGCCGGTGCCGGCCCCGCGGGCTGTGGCGCGGCGGGTCCATGTTGGAGTCGGGAGTTCTCAGGGGCTCGGGGCGGACAGATGCTGCTAAATAAACCGACCGTTCACAGGAATATAGAGGCAGATACAGCGTTTGCGCCCAGATACACTCCAGGCGTATTGCTGTGTCCTTATGATCCGGTGCCACAGCAGGGCTATGCCTCTTCGGCCCCAAGCGGATTTTTAGACAAAACGCGGCGTTGCCGTGAGGTTCAGATTTAATGCAAAGTACTTTGAGATTGCAGAAATATTGAAGCCTCTTAACATTATGTCTTGGCCTCTCAGGGATTGTTTTGTGAAAAGCATCACTCTGTGCAAGCATATTTGCATTATGGAAGTGCCACGCGTAGCTAAACAAATATGAAGAATCACAACACATCACAGAATCAATTAGGTTGGAAAAGACCACTGAGATCATCGAGTCCAACTATGACTGAACATCTCCATGTGAACTAGATGATGGCACTAAGTGCCACGTACAATCATTCCTTAAACACCTCCAGGGATGGTGACTCCACCATCTCCCTAGGCCATCTCCCTAGGCAGCCTATTCCAATGTCTAATCACACTCTGTGAACAAATTCTTCCCAATGTCCAACCTAAACCTTCCATGGCACAGCTTAAGACTTTGCACTCTTGTCCTATCACTAGTTACCTGGGAGAAAAAGTCGACCCCCTGCTGAGTACAAACTCCTTCCAGATAGTTGTTGAGAGTGATAAGGGCACCCTTGAGATGACCTTACACGACCTGAAGGTTACATCCTGCCCTAAAAGCAAGTGAGAAACCCCACCTTGTGTATTCAACGTTAGAGTACAACAGTCAGCAGCAAGTGAATGAAGCAGAATTAAATTAGAGGAGGGGAAGTACACATGGAAGCTGCCCATATACAGAAATGGTTCATCACCTGCCCAGCCAGTGTTAGTTACCTCAGTGGAAAGTTTTTCCACAGGCAGGATGGGAGGAGTGGAGGAGCTGAGCTGATGAGAAGCTGTCATTGCTGACAAAGCACAGGGAGATGTCAACTGCACGATCATGCTATATATGATTACTGGTGCGTAGCTAAGTCATGAGGTCATAACCAGAAGTTTGCTTCTCAAGGAAAGGCAGGAGTGTAACCATTTTGAGGTGATTATTTCTTCCAGAAGGCAATAGACGATTCAGAATTTCCCTAGTGCCAGGTAACTAGCAACCGAAATTCTCAGAAAATTTCATCACTCCTTTACCAAAATAGTACTTTGCAGAGAACTGCAAGTGCTTTTCTCTGCAGTTCCAGATGTGAATCTTTCTGAACAAGGCCCGATCATTAACTGGCAATTTTCCTAAACAGGAGGAAGAACAGCACTGATCTTTCAATGCCAAAATTAAAGGCATTTGCTAAAATTAGAAACTTACCGTTTAAAATTTTGCAAAGCATTCACATCTTTGGTCACCTGGAATTCAAAGCCAACACTTAGAAGAAAGGGACACAGACTGAAAAAAGCAAGTTTGTAGCTGTAAAACATTACTCTACCCAGATGTATTCAGCCAGTTTTAACAGCAACAGGAATAAGGACTGCCTTGCTGTTGGTAATAATAAACTCTTCAAGTAGTTTGCATTGCCCTCTTTGACCAAAACAATAACCATTATTGCCCATTTTCACCACTAAGGCTTTTGGTTTTACTCTTTCAATTCCACCACGTGCTGACAAGACTGTCTTTATTGTAATTCCATGTAAGTCCACAGCACTGATGAGAGAGGGCTAACAGCACCCCCATTTTGGAAGCCCAGCTAGGCTGGCATTTGTAAGCCAAGGCAGCTTAATTTCCCCTTGTACCCTGTACCGTACCCTAGTGTTGCAAGTAACCACTTTATCCCTTCTTCCATAAAGTGATTGTGCTTTGCCAGTAAATGTTTTGGCCCTTGCTGCTGCTACTGCTCCACAGGAGAAGCAGCAGCAAGCAGCCATTTATGGAGCAGTGACAATAAATCATCTGAGAGAAAGAGACAGAACAGTACTGTGACATTTCCATCGCTCTTCCAAGCTAGTAGAATGTTGTGATCCTGGTAATACATATTTAATAGCATTCACTTTCCAACAAAAGTGTTTTATTAATTTTATTACTTCTGGTCAGAAGATAAATGACTGTAGCATTTTTAATGTGCAATGCCCTCTCATTTGTTTAATTTTGCTGATGCAGAAAGTCTAAGTAGCACTAGCAAAGAAAAGAGAAAATTACAGGCTTGCAGATTGCAAGCAGGATTTTTTTCAGCCTGCCAGCCTAACTGAACATACCTGGTTGTCGCTTATTAGAATCACCATTTCCTCCAAATCTCAAGTCACTGTGGTTAAATAGTGATTGGATTGTTAGAGGTGAAAGATGTTTTAAACAAGACTGAAAGTTGAGGAATTGGATATTCTTACCAGTTCTCTAAAGAGATCTCCAAGACAGATAAGACATGAATTTCTAATGCAAAAAGGAAGAATTTGGTCTGTAATAATTCAATGTCAAGAAAGTGATACATACAGACCATTTTTCTTTTTTGTAGATTGCCTTGCACTTAAAATACACTCCTATTTTCTTTTCAGCATGCTTCATTCTGTGGGCAATCTCTTACAGTTCTCTCTTCATGTATTAGTGAGACCAAAAAATAGGCGGTGGTTTTTTTAACTTTTCTAGGCCACATCTGGAAGTAGTTGCACCTTTTCTTAAGTCACTCTCTTTGTAAGCTTTTACTTGCTAATCTAGTGGGAATTTTTTGATTCTTAGGGATCAAGGCAGCATTTTTTCCGGTAGATCTTGAGTGGAACATGAATAAGCATACACACTCAATGTTCACTTATGTCAGTCACATTTAAAACCGATGTTCCTTCATTTAAGAGTGAAAGGATGCATGTCAGAAATCTGAAGGATACAAGTAGAGAAAATTTAGAATGAATAGAGGTGTCACATAAACTACATTATCATCTCTACAGAAGTGGAGAAAAACAGTCCTATTCCAAAAAAAAGTGGAGGTATGCTTGGGATTTTTAAACAGAGTAATGTGAGAGTGAGAAGAGCCCAGTGAAAGTGGGACAATATGCCAGAGGATTTCTAATAGAAATAGATTAGAAAGTCTTCAACTGGCTGTAAGTTCATGTGTTATCGTTCCCAGTAAAACTCTGAATTTTGGAATCTTTTACGTCAATTAAATTCTAAACCACTATAGTAAAAGTATTAACCTTATTATATAGGTTTAAAAACACAACAAATAACTACGGGGCTCTATCAAGATTTTACAGTAAATTTAGGGAGCATGCAAAGAACGGAGGGAGTGCTGAATTCTGCACTCATGATATAATTATTTCACTGACTCTGTTTTGTTGGAGATTTTTTAAATTCATTTTTATCATGCCATAATCCAAATAGTACTAAACCAGAAACCTTGCGCTGCTTTTCTTGAGTGTAATCCAAGAACCTGGTCCCAGAATAGGCTGTACTGCTTTACACCATGTTTTTTTCCTGAGTAAAAGAAAACCCTCACAAAAGCTATTCCCTATCTTCTCTTTACAGACTGGCAAGAGTGAACAGTTACCTGACAAAACCAAGGTAACTCAGCATTTAGCAATTAAAAACCAGTGGGAGACAGCAAAGTAAAAGTGAAATAATTCTGCATTGCTCAGTGTGCCATAGTTCATCATTATGCCACTATACCTCAACCTTATTGCTGATCAACTAGTGTAATCACATGTATATCTTTCTTAGGATATCCACTTACTCCCTGTGGATTGTGATGCAAGATGCAGAAGCTTATTTCATTTGAGGAGCAGCATGTAGTGTTGTGGGTTGGCTTCAGTTTGACAGAAAAAAACCCCAAACAAACAGAGGATACAATTAACTAATGCCTTTGTGTTCACATTTGAGAATCAACATGACAGCTGGTAAGAGGGCAAGCCAATACCTCCAAAGTAGAGATTTAGAGGAAGCCTTGAATTCCAAAAATGTTGAAGTTGCCCATAATTATGGAGAAAGCTTATCCTGAATATAGCAGTCTAAAATTTCATCTTTTGGAGCTGCACAGTCAGTGTAACTGAGTTTCCTTGTCTTTGTTAGTATAGATGGTTTCAATATTCCTGTATTGTCGGCATCTTCATTCTAGCACCACCATATTCCATCTGTGGTATTTCCTTGCCTGTCGTTAAAGTTTTCAGAAGTTAAATAATTCTAAACTTTGCTGTCGAATCTACTGGAAAGGACAGTACCATATCATAAAAAAGGAAAGATGTTTTCTTTAATTATCCTTGAAGGATATAAAAGAGAATACAGCAAAACTGCCCTGTCTGATAGCTTTCTGCAGTTAAATTCAGTCCCACAGAAGAAGTGGAACTCTGCTAAACAGATAACCTGAACTGCATCAAGTTTTACTCTTACGTTTTCAGTTTTTTCTTGGATATAATAGGTTTTATACCACTGTACTGGCTGAATCTTAAATACAAGCTACAGTTACAGAACAGCATTTTATGACAGGTCTATAGAACATACATAAT